TGGCATTACGATGAATTCATAATGACCATATCTCGTTCTGAAAGCTGTCTTCGGAATATCTTTCTCCTGGATCTTCAGTTGATGATAACCCGAACGTAGATCGATCTTTGAAAATACCAAAGCTCCTTTTAGTTGATCAAACAAATCATCAATGCGTGGAAGGGGATACTTGTTCTTGATGGTCACCTTATTGAGCTGTCGATAGTCAATGCAAAGACGCATTGATCCATCCTTCTTCTTAACAAATAACACCGGAGCTCCCCAAGGCGATACACTTGGTCGGATAAATCCCTTCTCTAGCAACTCTTGTAATTGATTCTTTAACTCTTGCAATTCTTTCGGAGCCATTCGATAAGGTGCCATTGCAATCGGAGCTGTTCCCGGCATTATTTCTATTTGGAATTCTACCTCTCTATCTGGAGGTAATCCTGGCAATTCAGTAGGAAAAACATCAGGGAACTCTCGAACTATTGGAATTTCCTCTAACCTTTTCTCTTGAGCTCTTGAATCAATCACATTTGCAAGAAAACCCTGACATCCTTGTAGCAATAATTTCTTGGCAGACATCACTGATATTACATTTGCTAAAGGATTAAACCTTTCACTGCTCACACTTATCTCTATTCCTTCTGGACTTTTCAGAGTTACCTTTTTCAATCTGCAACTAACATCTCCGTAATACCGGAACAACCAATCCATTCCCAGAATCACTTCAAACTCGTCAAAGGGTAATTCCATCAGATTAGCAGGGAATTCAATTCCCTGAATCTTTATGGGACACCCCTTACAAACTTTATTCACCCGGGCACTCTGGCCTAACGGGGTTGTTACTATATTCTCATTACTCGTAGCTTCTAAGGGAATTCCCAACTCCTTTACTAACTTACTTGTAATATAAGAATAATTAGAACCCGGATCAATCAGTACCAATACTAATTTATCATACAACTGAAAAGTACCTGCTATAATATCAGGGTCATCACAGTCTTCACTTGTCTTTAGGTTGTATACTCGAGCAGTGGATCGAACTTCAGGTTGAGCAGAGAATTCAGACGGGTTCCTTCCTCTGCCTCTTCCTCGTCCCCTTTGTGAAAAAGAACCCGCTCTTCCAGATGGTGCCGGCTCACCAATAATCAATGGACAATCACGGACAAAATGTCCGGCCTCTCCACATCGAAAACAAGTCCCAGCTGCCATACGACAAGTTCCATAATGGTTTTTCCCACACTGCTGACACTGTCTCCCTTGACCCGGAGTAGATCTCCCAACACCAGATTCCACTGACTGCGTCTGTCTAGGTCTTGCCTGAGTTGCTCCCCTAGCAGACGATGCAACTGATTCTGATCTAGCTTGTGATCGAAATCCCGAGTCTCTTCCCCTTTTTGTTGGTGTTGAACCAGAATAAGTAGTCGTCCTCTTTGATGTCTGAACTCTCGAGTCCCCAAATCTTTCATTCTGAGCCCTTTCAAGAGCTTTTGCACGATTGATCACCTCCTGGAACGAGGACAGGTTTAATACTATCAACATTTCTTTAAGTCTAGGGCGCAAGCCCTCCACGAACCACTCGCAAGCATCTTTTTCAATAGGCACAAGCTCGGCTGCAAACCTGCTCAGCTTATTAAACTCACATTCGTACTCATACACAGAGCGGCTCATCTGCTTCAAATTCATAAATTCCTGCTTCATTTGGCGGATAAACTGATCTCCAATATACTTGCTTTTAAATTCATCTAAAAACAAAGACCAAGTCAACTGGTCAGTTGACATCCTCATGGTGACGTTCGTCCACCATATCCTCGCCTGACCCCTCAATAAAGAAACAGCTCCATCTAATTTCTCCACTTCGGAACAGTGGAGACCATCTAACATGATTTTCAAATCATTCAACCACAGATCCGCTGACACCGGACCTTCCTCAGCTTCTCCCTTAAACTCGGGAGCTCCTAAACTTCTCAATTCTTTTGCTACATTAATTCTGGGAGTTAGTGGAGCAGGAGGTTGAAGACGCGTCAGAATAGCGTCTAACGTTCTGAAGAACGTATCTTGATCTTGTACAGGCACTCCTTGAGATGCCTGTTCTTCACCTTGCCTGGCCAGGGCAGGTGAATTACTGCTTTCAGCATGCCTATCTTCTCCCGCTTCACTTCGGGAGCTATTATGTCCGGACATCTAATAAGAATATACACATTGTTCTATTAGCAAAACAGCATACTCATACTATACCAGATCAGAAGTTATCACTATTTGTTGGCATGTATTCCATTTAAAGACTCCATAGACTCTGGTTTATGCCTAGAATCGGCTAAACCATAGCTCTGATACCATTAAATGTAACACCCCCAACCCATACCCGACCCGGATATGAGTCAGAGATACTACATTGACTTTAAAACACAACTCTTAATAAATAATAGTAAAATATTGGGACTTGTATTAAGAAAATATAATAATATACATACTGTAATATAAGTTTACAAAAATATTCAGAGCATACACAACTTAACTCTTTAATTACATGCCAACTGCTATTTACATAACAAAATAACCTACTGATAAGTTGCTTCTGATCTGATGGTTGCAGGAGTAATACTGTCAAGCTGCTTCACCTGTCTCTTCTATTTTCCTCGGATCCTACGTGTGAAACACTCACACGCTAAGTCATCGACTTAGTGAGGCAACAATAATAAGGCAATATACTGTAATGAATATGTCAGTATCATATGAGATGAGATGCAAACATGTAACTAATCAATGTAATCAATGTAGTATACTTTAACAATATCCATACCTGTAAGCGTATGACTGTAACATTCATTATTCAGTATTAATAAGTTTATTGGCCCATGATAGCATATTGAGAACCTAAGGTATTTGAGTAATGTGAGGTTGTGCACTATGCTGTCACCACAGCTCGTATAAATGCACCGAAGTGCCCGTAGAATTGCACCGAAGTGCCCGTAGAATTGCACCGAAGTGCCCGTAGAATTATGTCCATAAGGACCACGTAGAATCCTTTAAGAATCATATACATATACTATGGATCAAGTATGTGTCTTTCAAGACTTCACACAGGTTCCAAAGGATATACATATGCCCTAAAGAACCGAGTATACCCTCTACCCTTGGCATGCCAACTATACCTATAGTTCTCATCTACATAACATGGGCTTATACATTTCCCGTAGTTCATATCGCGTAGACATAGTATTTCCATACCTTTAACACATAGGCATATCATTTACCTACCTTATCACATAGTGCATAGAACTTTTCTGCATATTCATGTCATGTAATACATATAAGATGAATTCACGTCATGTAATACATTTAATACAAATTCATGTTATGTATCATAATATGGAATGTAATCATGTGTCAAAATATGGAATCTAGACTTATCACAAGTCTAGAACTGAATATACTACTATATTCATGCTATGCATATGCACTCACCTATACTTCTTTGCCTTTTCCTCGATCGATTCTACTTGTAGATTGTTCCCGAACTCGAGTAGGCTCGGTATCTACATAAACATAATTTTCAAGATGATCATGATACGTCTATGTCTTGAAATAAAGCTTTAATAGCTTACTAATTAAAAGAATTTATAGCTTAGTCTTGTTTTCTTTTCTTTCTTCTTCTTTTTCTCATGGGGGAATCGGTTCCCCCCCTGGGGGTATCGATTCCCCTCAAGCAATCTGGAATTTCATATACGATGAGGGGGTATCGGTTCCCCCCCTGGGGGTACCGATTCCCCTCTAGCATTCTGGAAATCATATTCGTTGAAGGGGTATCGGTTCCCCTTGAATGGGTACCGATTCCCCTAACCCAGAATTCCTAATTTGAGCTCGGAAATCATCCCATTTCAGCTCAAACATACTTATTTCAATCCCTTTACTACTCTTAGCTCTCATACACTTACTTAAACTAATTATTATCCATTAAATACCTCTAAAACCTAGAAATCTAATTCTCCATATAGCATTTAAGAATCCAATCAAATTTCCAATATGTTCTAATTTGAATTCTAACCCCTCATACTTCTTAATTAGCTTATTGACAAGTCAAAAATCTGATTCAAACATCAAAAACTCATCCATATCAAAATTTCCTCTAAAAACTCATTTCCCAAATCATTCTCTAAAACACTTCTCTTGTTGTTTTAATGTCATATAAGTTTTCCTTTAGCTTATATAACATCTAAGCTTCCATTTCCAATCTTAAAACATCAAAGAAACTACCAAGTTCAGATTCTTACCTTAATTGCAAGCCCAACGTTGAGAGAAGGAAGAGAAGAAAATAAGGAAGAAGGAAGAAGAAATGGGAGGGTTCTGGAACCTATGCCACACGTGGGTCTCATATATCCCATAACATTTTATTTTAATTAAAAATTTCCTTGCAAATGACCATTTGGTCCTCACCTTAATCTCATATTTACCAACCTTTATTTTTAAACTATATAATTGTTCTACTTTAATCATCAAATGTTGTAACTTTGCAATTTAATCACTAACCCGGCATGGAGGATGTTACAATGTGAGATACCCTTTGCAATGAAGTCCAAGTGTCAGTTGCAAACAAATTTACTTGTATCTTTTTTAAAAGCATTCTTCATTATCTTCTTTATGGAGTTGAACAAATCGAGACAAGGCCTTCTAATTGTAAAACGAGAAGGGAGATGAAGCCTTGGGCATGTTAGAGAAAGAAATGACTTAATTCCTTCTCCCTCTAAAATTCGAAAAGACAACTCATCCATAATTATCATGTGAATCAATGCCTTTCTAATAGCATATTTTTCAAACTTTTAAGTTGAAAGTTGTCACTTCACTTTCAAGGTCAATCCGAAGTAATGCTATTTCTGATTACTTAAAATCCAAAGTATTTCCTTGAGTTTTTTTAAGCATGTCTTCAAATGATTATTCAGATTGGTTGTAGAACCTTTCGTTTCCATGCAGTAAGTCGTGTCACGATAATTGCATTTTATCCTATTTTCCCCAACTTCGGTTACATACTTTTTGAAATGGTTCCAACATGTTACTCTTGGTTTTTGTTTCTTTCTAGCACTTTTATTACTCATTGGATCATTGACTTTACATGTAGAAGAACTTTGTGAACTTTGAGTTGAACTGTGATTTCATGGTTGTGAGCCCTAAGTCTCATATGATCCACTTATCTGCAATATCAAAATATAATATATTAATATTTCCATTTTAAACTATAAAACACGGGCTTACTTTAAGGGTATTTATTTATATAAACCTTTAAAATTTAACAAAACAATAACCTTATAATACACCTACTACTACTGTAATCAATATATATATATATATATATGTGATACTATGTTACGCATGTAAAGTAAACCTCCATTACTCATAAATAAATCCTGGATGCAAAACACAAGTACTTCCAAAGTTAAACATGGATGCAAAACACAAGTACTTCAATATCTCTAATTAGTTATAAGTGTATCTTTTTTATTATTAAACTTTCAATATCTCTAATTATAATATTAAACTTCAGTTTTGACTTTAAATATGTCATTGAACCGTTAAATTTTGTCGACACAACATGGACATAACTTTCTGTCACTATGATGACTATGATGATGTGGACAAAACAATATTATTTTGGAGATAACTATCGATGCCCAAAACAATGTCATTTTAGGCACTGGAATTTATGGGTTTATCAATTTTGTTACTAAACTTTTAAACAATTTACTTTTTGACTATGTAATTTTTCCATCTTTCATAGTAAGTCAATCACTGTCGATCATCGGTCGACTTTTATGTAAAGATCGATACCAAAACGTTTGTATTTCAATTTTCTTTCTTCTCTTAGTATTGATTTTACATGAAACTAACTCAAAATCGAAAAATTTATTTAAAAGTTCTAAGTGTTAATACTCTTATCTCTTTCAATGATCGCCTGATGTGGCTAGTTTTAAGGTACATTGTTAGTCTTCTCGAAATATGCTTTTCACCGTTCGAAATTTTTAACAAACACCACAAATCCTTAAAATCTAAGAAAAGACTCCAACCCCCTAAAAATGATATATATATATATATATACACATTTTTTTGTTTAATTTCATCTATTTTAAGTGGTATCATGAATAACGAATCCTAAGAGAAGAGGTGTGAAATGCAAATATTTTGGTACCGATCTTTTCGCGCCTAAATTTAAGTCACCACTTGATTGGAGGATTAAATATTTTGAATTGAATAAAAATTAGAACCAAATTGATAGAATGTGTAAGTAATATGGACAAAATTTATAATAATACCAATTTTATTAACTAACACTTCAATTCCTTCATTAATACTTGTTAATTATTAACGATGAATAGCTTGATTGAGAATATTTAAATAGTTAAGCGATTTAATTGTCAAAATTAAAAAATCAATAGTCAAAATAGAATTTGCCCATAGTTAAGTGATCATGAATGTATTTTACTCAAAGAGATTAACCACTAGTTAGTGCTACCCCTAACAACAGTTAAAATTGTGGTGACTACTTTGTAACAATTCAAAAACTTAATATAGTCCTTTCAATTTTCTTTCATATAAATAAATTATTTTTTATAGTTTTAAATTTGTCGAGTTTTTAATTGAATTTAAACCAAGTATATTTTATAAGACTTTCATAATATTTTTACTTTTACTTCATTATATTAGGCTTCTTATCAATATTTCTTAGTTCATATGTCATCAATGCTTTCTTAACAGATTCTGCCTCTTATAATTGCTTCAGCCATTCTCACCTGTCTTAGAGGTCCTATGATGAACACCTGCAATATATTCATGAGATGTATTCTGCAGAAGCTCTAGTTTTGAGTTTCTAAATACTGTTTGTGCAGGCATATGCAACAGGGATCAAGAAATCAAACCACGAGCTATAATTATAATACAGATTAGCCAAAATAAGTCCATAAACTGACCTTGTCTGGACTTCCTTTATCGCCTCCTATCAAAATATCAGCACTGCAATATGGATGATAATTTGTGAATCACATGATATCTTTGCATTGGTAGCTCGAAAGAGAGACTTACTTGCATGAATTTTTGATCGACATGATTGAAACTCCTTTCTTTCCAATAATCCGCCCCATTTTCCCGCAAGGAACGTTAATTACTGACAAAATTTCTTCTTCGGGAGCATTTCCTTTTGCCTTGATGCTATCTAAGATATGAAGCTCAAACTTAGCTTTTATGTATAACTTCATTGCATAGAATATATATATGAACCTAGTTTCTTAAATATCTACATTGTCTAGTTGATCAAATAGAAACAGGTGCTGAAATGTTAACTATGAAACCAACAAATATGAAATCTTTTATTCAACAAAGGTGATTGACCTGGAATGGTCGGAATCGGTGGCCAATCTGAATATCCTTTATCCCCAACACAGAAACATCGACAATGTAATGCACCACGAACAGCAAGTTTCCATAACATTTGGTCGTTCAACTTTTCCATTATCTTGTAGTGAATGTAAGGAAGAAACCGAACATCATCCACAGCTGTTTGGATCATCATTTCTGACAAGGGCCTGTATGTCCAAACCTTGGGGTCCTGAATCCATAAGTGGAACGCATATAATTCCCAAACTAAAAGATTCAAAATGAATTTGTGTTTCGGAAAACATATGTTAAGCTACGAGAGGGTATACTTGCCTTCTTTAAAAGTGCACGAACTTCATTCTTCTCGACGTACGATATACCTACATCCGTAAAGGTTTGAGTTTTTTGTGCTAGTTAAAGTGGTATTTTCAATTTAATTATCAGAAAAGAAAAAAGAACAGATATACCAACACCATTGATAAATTTAAAAGAAAGCATCAGAGAAAACAGAGTTGGAGATGGAAAATGCATATATAATGATCGATGATCAGTAAAATCCGACAAAGAGAACATCTGATGTAATGTAAATATTGACAGCAAAGAGATGCTTGAACTATGGCAACGGATTGAACATTGTATGAATATATAAATATTGTCGAAATAGTACCGCAATACTGTGGATCAGCAAGGAGACGAATGAAGGAAATGGGGTCATCTGATGATTTTCGTCGTCCGTTTTGCTCCTCGATCAGAGAATATGCAATCTGCATACATACGACAGACAAAATTCAGCCTGGAACATGTGTAAGTAAAATGCTCGAAAATCGGTTGGCTCAACCAGGCCACTACAGAGTAGCATGCAAGGTACTACTACCATTGCCTATTTCTGAAGAACAAATCATATTTACAATCTTAGAGAGATACTACAAGTTAAACACCTAATAACCTGATCATTCGTTTCTAATCCGATCCCTGCTTATTCTTCAATATAAAACGGGATACGACAAAGAGACAAAACAATAAACCTGGAGCTTAGCTTATGCAGCCACTCCAGCAAGTCTAGGATTCAAGTCTTAGCATGTAAAGTAAATTTCCCAGTTTATGGGATTAGTATTTGAACCCACCTGAGTATCCACCACATTATGGAGCTTTATACCGAACTGAAAATACAGTGCCTGCATGATGTTGTTCATGATTGTAAGTCCAGAGCTCAAAATATTTCTTTTATAAACACATAAATACACAATTCGATCTTCTTCCCCACCTCACTATCTCGTTTGCAATCATGGATAACTTTCGTGACGAAACTGGACTCAAGAGCAGGCTTGCAGGCTTGCATCAGTTTCTCCCCACCTTGAATAACATCAACCAAATATATAGCATCCGAAAGAGCAAGCTGCCACGAAAAGGGAACACTTCATCAATCAAACAATCTTATGCAAACCGAGTTATGATACTCCGAGGACTTCCCAAATATATCGAACTCTTGGAAAAATGGGATATGTCCATGTCAAATGCTCACATCGAATTTTCGAGTCTGAGTTTGAGTAACATAGAGTGATAATACAAGTACAAAAGCAGAAATAGGAAACCTAGGCAATTCATCAAACATGTTTCTTTCGGTCGGAATTTCGATCTTGATTCTCGAGGACTCCTTCGTTATCTGGTTTTAGGATTATCTAATTAGCTTACCTGCATGATGCAAAGTGTTCCATATTGGCAGAGTTGAATGCCTTCGCTATCGAATCCAATAATCAAATGGGTTTTAGCAGAGGGGAAAAGAAACTCTTTTGGGAGCTGAGATGCATTGGTGACAATGTGAATCGGAACCAGAGATAAAACAGCCTCATAATCCTTGTGTCTGTCACCTATGAAACACGGTAACATTTTTCGATTTGAAATTGAAACTAAAATGAGCTAACCAAAACTTTCAAAAACAATCTCAAAAAGACAACAAAAGCATGAAAAAGAGACCCAGACCGAGGGGCGGGTGAATTCGTCATTGAAATTTTCAAATCCTCCTATCTTTTAATTTTTTTCTGTATATTTTTGTATTGATAATTTGTTTTCTACATCCGTCCCAACTGCCAAAGTCCCAAAGAAACAAAGCAAAGACAGAGTTTTTACCAGATTCAAAAGGTAAAGGAACGTACGTCTGGTAAGGCTTAGAAAACTCCATTTTCGCGCTCTCAAGCTCACAACAATATAAACATATATGTATAATATAAAAAAGTTCAAACTTTCTCTCCCTCAAAAACAAATGCTTGGGAGTTTAGAGAGTGGAACAGTGTGAAGTTTGGTCGTCTTCTTTTCTATTTTCAGCAAACAAAAAAACCCCCTTTTCTTTATATTTTGGTTCTGGAAATTGTAATGATTATATAGGCGTTTGAACAGTGTGAGCCATGCATGGGAATTGCAGGTAAACAGAACCAGGTTCCGCGTGAAAGAAGCGTGACTCAATAATTTAACTACACTCTCATTTTCAAGCGCGTGAAATCAATTATTGTAAGTTTTATTTTTGGATAAAAGTATATTATACTAGTGGTCGTTTAAATATTAGTAAGTTTATAATTTGGTCATCCAATTATAAAAATATCCAATTCCATCACTTACCTAATCAACTTCCCACGTTTTAGTCTTCCATAGTAGAAGTGTTCATAGATCTAATCAAATTTATGCATGCGATTTACACCCTTTATATTTATTTCAGCTCGGCCTAACTTGAAGCAAAAAATCCTTTAATTATCAATCAGACTCATCGAGGATATCAAGTTACCTCTTTTATAGTCAAAGACACGAAGATACTTCCAACGAGTACTTATTATATTGCCTTCCCACCATCCAAATGGAGCATGGATGTCTCTGCTAAGGTCAAGAAAAATATTTCTTTAACATTCGTAGAACACAAATAATTCATGTTAAACTATAAAAAATCTTCCAAGGAAATATATATAAGAACTGAGATAAATTTATCCAATATAAAATTGACTAAATTAAAAATTATCAAAAGCATTGAGAATCCTATATATACATCAAATACATGTGGGGTTGGAGACAATTCCACCATAATTAATCAAAATATCCCAGAAGTGTTGAGCATCCTCTGCAGAAAATACATGTAGGCCTGGAGATCACTCCACCTGAATGAAATGAGATGTCCTAGAAGCGTTGAGCATCCTCCACATGAAATACATATGGATCCGGAGATGACTATGCCTACCTCAATTAAAACACAAAAATAACTTCCAAAGACTCAAAAAGTGTTTTGCAAAAAGATAAACATGAAGCCAGGAGATGAAACCGAGATATCTCTTGCCAAACGTATAATACTCATCTAATTTTAATAACATGATATGTTCAAACTGGACTCAGAAAAATTCATCAAAACATCAAGATTTTTTACCACACAACTATCGATTTAAATATTTTTCCTATCAAAACATAGAGAACCCTTAGTAGGGAAGGCACACAGGCGTGGAGATAACTCTACATACTTTGTTCTCGCCCAAATCAACACACTAAAGCAGTGAGAATCCTCCACAAGATATATATAGGTGTTGAGATAATTTCATCTGATCTAAAAATTATTCAAATAAAAAAGAGATAGAATAATAAACATCTAAAAGTAACAAACTTAGATAAATTCCAGTCAATTACTTACAAAGAAAATCCTCCAAAATATACAAATGCAAGAAAAATGATAAAGAATTTTGCACGTTGAAAAAAACACAACCAAAACCAGAGAAATATGATTTTTATTGATACATGGTTGTAAGAAAGACCTTAATTAATACGCAAAAAGATCAAATTAGAGGATTATCAGCATAAATATTAATTCAAGCCAACAACTGTTTTACTCGGAAACGGGAATAAGGTAACATAGACCTAACGTAGCCAACACATTTCGATTACAGGCTCTCGTATGTCGACTTGATGCAGGACAAAGGTTTTTGCGCCCTCTTCAAGATTTTCCTAATATTCTCTTGAGGAGTTGTAAATATCAAACGGAAATTCCCTCTGAAAATTCCCAACAACAACAATCCACTTTGATATATCTATGGGATCGAGGATAGTTTGAATTTTACAAACAAAACTGCGCTCAAATTTACCCTCATAATCTTTAAACTCTTAAAGTTGTTTCGTCATTTAATGCGATAACTTTTACGCGTTGGCCTTAACTGAAAACAACCGGAGAACCTTTGCATTAGGAACTTCTGTCTGACAGTAATTTTATACCAATACTATATGCGGGTTAATTTGTTCAATACGTCACAAAGACATTCATTCAAAGATCTACGATATTTGTTATAGTGACTTGGAACTTGTCTCGTCAAAGTATCGAATTTTAATAAAAAAAAATTTTATTCAAACTTTTTATCTTGATATGATAAATTTTAATAAAAAAATATATTTTATTAGAACTTATCATCTTGACATGATGAGTTTGAATAAAAATATTATTTTGGTAAACTCATCACCTCGACGTGACGATTTCCTTGAATACTATAGCAAATGTCGTAGATTCCAAAATAAAATTTAATATACCCTATTGGGCTAATTAATAAAACTATTTACCCTATTAAGTAATAAAAAAAACTCTTTCTGGCACCACAATTCTACCATATCTTTCTAGAACCTCTTCCACTGATAAAATTGTAAAATGGTAGTATTTATGCTCTTTTAGGAGAACGTTAGCTTGTACTTAGGCATCTTTTCATTTACATATTGTAGACACTCATTTTTGTTCGGGTCTACAAAAAAATTATTATTATATTTTTTTATTATTATTAATATTTTCTATTTTTGCAGGCATTATATCAACCCGATCAGACCCGATTCAAGCCAGGTCATCATCCACCTGCCAAACAACCAAATCTCGTTTTCCACTAACCACCACGTATCTCAACTATTCAACTACACCCCTAAAAATCTGGCCATAATCTCTGGCCATTACATATTCAACAAACACGCTGCTTTAAAGGGGGGCTACAACGAAAAGGGGAGGCAAAAAAAAGATCCACGATTATACACTGGAGATTACACCCACAAAATACCCACACGATTACACAGGGGAGAGACCTACACAAAAACGAAAAGGCAGAGTGGGGATCAGTGGGCGAACTCAGTGGGGGACTTTTGGTATTATCGTCATCTTCCTCAACCAACGTTGGAAGCTCTTCAACCTTCATCTCTTCGAGCTTCCTCTCTAAATCCTGGCTCCAAAACAAAACGCAAACCCCTCTCACCTCAAGATTATGACTGAAACTCGAAGACCCAAAGCCCCCGCGCAGCGACCGTTCTTTGGTGGTCAGTCTTCACTATGACTGCCTCCCGACGTTAACAAGGCGTTTTCTCTATTTACGGATGACTCGGTCCTCATGAACGCCGATCAGATCAGACGGTTCCTTGTAGTGCACCAGAACGACGTTAACATGAGAGTCGAAGATGCTCAGGAATTCCATAAGCTCGTGGAAGCCATAGATATTGTTAATTTACAAAGAACGTGAAAGCATTAGTCAAAATGCATGTGGGACCCTCCATGATTTTCTGCTTGGTTTTCTCTTAGTCTTGGCACTTGGCAGTATCATAATGGCATGTACAGTATAAAGAGCAGTTCAATGGCTTATCAAGACTGGTAACAGTTTTCAATGCGGTAAATTACCTAGATCGTTTTATATCAAAGGGTTTTTTTTATCTTATTACTTTCAAAACTTTAATATTCTTTTATTTTATTTATTTTATTTTATTATTTTTTTTCATTTGATTTATTTAATATTTATTTATTATTTCTCATCTAACATTTTAGACTTTCTAGAGAATTTTTTTTCGGTCAAAGGTAATTATTCGAATTGGATTTTTAAATTTTAATTTTAATTTTAATTTTCGCTATTAAGACAACCGCTAAATTAATTGGTACCGAAAGGGCGGTTCAAGGGTGTTAATCCTTCTGTAACCGTAACCGACTCCCGAACCCGACACGTTTCTGGTTCAACGCATATCAGGTAAGATGGTGTCCGACCCACCTAAATTCGTTTTAAAATGGTCGGTGGCGACTCTAACCCATTCATCCAAGTCGAAGCCCAATTCCGGGCCCAACCGAAAGACGGTTCCGACAGCTTGGCGACTCCACTGGGGACAGGTAAGTGAGTCAGGCCGAAATTAATTTTCGGTTGTCTTTTTTAGCGAAAATTACAAGTTTAAATTTTAATTTATTTATTCGGTTCTTATTATTTATCTTTGATTATTTTTTTCAAATAAATAGTTGTACTAACGTTTTTTAATGATTTCAGATTTTTTCAAAATTGTCATCTCTAGCTCTATACCCGAGCTCCGAACCCTTTTAAGTGGGGGTGAAAGCGACGCCTTCGTGGGAATTTATTCTCCGTATGGGCCTAGCAAGTAACCTTCGAGATTCATATACCTTATGTCTTCGTGTGAATTTATTCTCCGTATGGGCATAAGGGAATGTATCCTCTCGAGTTTAACTTAGTCCACATAAGCTTGTAATGGGCTTAGGACTAAGGGTCTGGCAAGTCCAATGGGGCACCAGCAAGGAGAACTCGGGTACCCTTTTTAGAACCTAAACCGGGAGACTATGGAGAATTAGAGCCTACCCTAAAACCTCATTTCAAACCCTATGCTGCTTTGATATTATTTCCTATCTTATTTTCTGTTCAAAGCATGTGAACTAGAATTTATGTGGTTAGGATTGGTTCAAAATTAACATGTGGGATAGAGATCATGTCCGGGTAGGAATTATAAGCATGTGGGGTAGATATCATGTGGGGTAGGATTTTTCAATTTATTATTTTGGTTTACCTCACTAACTTTTTTATTTTGTCCTCTTTTATTTTGTTTTTGTCATTCGCATCATTTAAAAGAGGTGTTGATCCACCAAAAATGTGTTTGTTAAACATGAATAATTTGCATTAATGGACAAAGGGGTTGTAATACAAGAGAGGACAGTCTACAAGGTGACTATGTGTCACATTCAATCCAGAAGACGGGGTACCCGCAATCGAAGAATATGTCACTTTGCTACATTGACTCCGAATGGACCGGAATTTACACCGAGCACACTAAAGTCAAATTTTTTAGAGGCAAAGATTACAGGGGCAAGACGAGGAAAAAGTTACTGACCCGAAGATTCCTTTCGAAAACTACGAGAATAAGATGAATTCCAGAAACAAGTCGATAAGCTTCGGATGGAGGG